TAATTTATAATAATAATAATAATAATAATGATAGTAATAATAATAATAATAATGATAATAATCAACTTTATTAACATGTCAAGGGATTTAGCTATAGAGCTAATTTGTGGGGAAAACATAAATAAATGTACAATTTACTTTTTGCATCTATTTCTACCTTGCAATATTATTATTATATTTATTTTGACAAATTAATATTCCTAGGTTCCCAACATCAGCAAAGGAAGACAAAAATATAGGTAAGGTTCTACAATCTAATACTATAATAAATATAATATTACCCTATATTCTATACCATATATATTACTAATGACAACAGCTACTGACAAACATTGGGTTTCGTAATACCTGCTAGGTAACTCAAATATTTCAGTGGCTTCTTGTGAAATCGTTTCATTTTTTACTGCCGACAGCCAAAATCCACATGTTAAAAGGTGCCGGCTGATTATTTTTGTTCGACGGCAGCAAAAAACCAAATTCCAGCTAGCAGCTGACAGCTACCAAAATTGCAGTTGAGAATTGCAGTAATCTTTTTTTTTTTTCAGATGAAGCTATGAGATTTCTTGTTCAATCAATACTGAGTCTTTCTGGTAAGATACCAAGACCTCTTATGACCAGGGACTGCATATCACTTTCCAGTAGTCGAAGCGGTACTCCAGCATCAGAAATAGGTGGCTACATGGTAGACTACAGCTATGCATACCCCACAGATGAATCATACAACCAGGAATATATACCACAGAAAAAGAAAAGCTGCTGCTAGTATTTATTTGTTAAGTTTGGCGCGCTCATAAAGTGATCTCAAAGGTCTTGAAGGTATCCCAATACCTTATAGAGAAACGATAATATCTATATTGTAAAAACTGTATATTATGGTGCATTAATAATAGGTTTAAATATGTGCATAATATATTAGGTGTTTTAGATTGAGATCCATAAAATAATTTACAACTTCCATGCATGTCTAACATACCTGTAAGTATGTACATGCACTCTTATGCCTGCAATTTATAGAAGTTATGTTATGATGTTTTACCTTTCTCCATGACTACAACCATTTCTTTTTACTTTTTAAATACCATATTATACAGCTATTTCAAAAAAGGTTGGTGACGGTTTTGTTGCATGTTGCATGCTGAAAACCAAGCAAGAAAGGTCACAACAATATGAAATTTAAAGATGTGAACTTTTCCATCAAGCTTTCTTTGAAAAAGATTTCCCAGCTCCAGAAAAATTTGCTTTATGAAACACAGTTTACATCTTTAATAACTTTCCAAGCAACAAAATTATCTTGCTGCAGTTTTGCCAACTCCTACATTTTAATGGCTTGTTGTGAAATTGGTTTTCATAAATTATTCATGGCCAATCATAGATATGAGGAATCGACTGATTATTTTTGATTGACAGCAGCGAAAAAACAGATTTCAGTGTGCAGCACACCACTGCCAAGTTCGCAGAAGATTGAAAACTGTAGTAACACTAGCCTTCTCTACAGGCTACTCACTAAGGTTTTTGTTGGTTTTGTTTTTTGTTGCTGTTTGAGAGGGATGGGTATCCTGTGGTGAAAACAAGGAAAACTAAAGCAAGCGGGGGAGGGAAAGAAAAGAGTGAGTAGCATCTCCTCTCTCACTCTTCTTTACCAGTATAGGAAAAGAGAGAGAAGAGAGAAAAAAGCAGAGGCCTGCGGAGGAGGCTACAGTAACACTAAAATAAAAAAATTTCCTAAACTTTAAATGCACTTAATTTCTTTTGAAATAATTTATATTTTATATTTGAGTATACTAAATTTCAAATTTAGTAAGCAACATGCAACATTTTTTGAAATGGCTATATATGTCTAGTTTGATTCAAATATTTTTAATATTGCTTTTCATAATTACTAAACAATACCATTTAAGTTTGAATACACCATCAGAATCTCTAAGATTAGATAATATACTGTGTTACAATGTAGATCCAAATCTTATTTGTATTTATAATTTTGTAAAAAATTCTAAATGATTTCAATAATTTATTATTACTGAAATTAGTATATGTAATAGGACTCCATGCTGTCCAAATAAGAAATAATTGGACGAGGAAAATTCCGAGGGCTGACAAAATTGGTTGAGGCTGTAGGCCGAGTCCAAGTTGGCAGTCAGAGGAATTTTTCAAGTCTAATTATTTCTTGATTGGGGAGAATGAAATCCCATTACCTATTAATTATATAGCTGCCTAATTAATCCCATATCAACAAGACCAGTCCAATTAAGAATATAATTGGACAGTTACCTATATGGGATTAATGAGAAGCTGTATAATTATTATAGTTAGTAATAAAAATAAAAAAATTTTGCATGTATGTCCCAGCTCGCGCCATATAGCCTGTAGTTATGACAGGTCTTAGACCATAATTATTGTAGTTGGAAAATTCATATTTTGGGTAATAAAAAGGCCTCAACCTAGCATTTGAACTTGTTTTCCTTCAGCTCCATTCACCACTTTCTGTAAGTTCAAGTTTCAAGTTTATTTTTACAAAATAATGACTATATATACACAATTTATCACCCTCCCGCAAATAGCA